TGCATTCTCATTTTTAAAATATTCTAATTGATTTTTAGAGAGAAGAAGGTAGAGAAACATTGATGTGAGAATGAGACCTCTATCAGCTGCCTCCTGCATGCTCCCCACTGGGGATCAAGCCTGCAACCTGGGCATTTGCCCAGACAGAGTGCCAAGCAAGGGTCGCCCTCGCCCCTCAGGCGAAGCCACACACAGGCCTGGCCCTTCCCTCCAGGCAGGGCCGCCCGCCCTCTCCCTGCAGCCCAGACCCCTCGGCCCCCCTCTGCCCGGGGAGGCCTCGCCTGCACCCCTGGCCAGCTCTTGGGTCCTCCGTCCAGCTTCCTGCTGCCCGTCCTGTCCCTCAGACCGAGGCCACCCCCTGAGGCCCTAACTGACCCCTTCCGGCCCAGGACCTCCCGTGTGGACCCTCCTGCCTTTTCAGCCCGACTCCATCGCATCGGCCGCCTCGGCCTGAGCATCCTCCTCTCCCCTCGCCCACCTGCTCTCGCCCCGTCCCCAGCTGCCCTGGGATACAGTCCCCGTTGCTCCCCGCGGGCCTTTTCTTCCGTGTTCCCTGCAGGCGCTCTTGCAACTAGCACCCCACATCCCGGGGCACTCGGGTTGTATGTGCCCCCACCCCCACCCCTGGCTCCGTGCAGCTGGCCTTTGCTCACCTTTACCTGCCGGCTCCCCTGGCCCCCCTTCCCTGTCACCCTTTGACCCTCTGTCCACACCTGATTTTTTTTAGCAACCCTCAATTCTCCAGCTGCCCCAGCCACCAAGTCCATGCCACCAGCCACAAATGCCTCTGTCCTGTCGTTTCCACCTGTCACCCCTTTTCATTTCATCATCTCGTAGCGCCAATTAAGTAACTTAACCGCCATTTGCAAATGTCACGCACTCTATAGTATAGAGTCTATACATTTGGCTTCAGAAAATTCATTTTCTCCTTTGTCTTCTGCCACATCCACAGTCCCTAGCCCAGTGATGGCGAACCTTTTGAGCTCGGCGTGTCAGCATTTTGAAAAACCCTAACTTAACCCTGGTGCCCTGTCACATACAGAAATTTTTTGATATTTGCAACCATAGTAAAACAAAGACTATGTTTTTGATATTTATTTTGTATATTTAAATGCCATGTAACAAAGAAAAATCAACCAAAAAAATGAGTTCGCGTGTCACCGCTGACACGCGTGTCATAGGTTCGCCATCACTGCCCTGGGCTCTCCATCTTCCACCTGTATATTCAGCCACTAGACCTGTCCGGCACTAGAAATGCCTTTAAAGCTCCCTTTCCCTTTTCAGGACCCAGGATCCTCTTTCCAGTCTCTAGATCTGCTCCTGGTCTCATCCCTACAGCCATGTACATGTGTGAATGACTCATTTTTCATTATCCTCCCAGCACCCATGAAGAGACTCAGTCCCGCCAGCCAGCCCAGTCCAGTCCTGCAGGTACCGGAAGATGGAGATAACCTCATCCCTTTTGCCAAGTGAGTCGTCCCCACCCAGTGGGGAGAATGGGGACAGGATGGAGGGAAGATTGCACGCCTAAGCTCTTTCCTAAGAAGAGTTGGAAATAAGGACCGAGAAGCTTAATGCCTGGGCTCAGGGGATTGATGACTCATTCATTTATTCAACAAATAATTTTTGAACACTGCATTGTTCTAGGCCAGCGGTTCTCAACCTGTGGGTCGCAACCCCTTTGGGGGTCGAACGACCCTTTCACAGGGGTTGCCTATAATTATATATAATTACATATTGTTTTTGTGATTAATCACTGTGCTTTCATTATGTTCAATTTGTAACAATGAAATTGGGGGCCACCACAACATGAGGAACTGTATTAAAGGGTCACGGCATTAGGAAGGTTGAGAACCACTGAGCCAAACCAGTTAGGGCAATCAGTGGAAGTTTTTAAGCAAGGAAATGACTACAGGCTTTTTTTTTCTTCAACTCTTTTATTACAGAAAATTTCAAACAAATACAGAAGTAGAGAAGGCAGCAATAATGAACTCGGTGTACCCTTTTCAGTCAGCTTTAATAACTGTCATTATATGGATAATCATCTTATCTGTATACTTAGCCAACGTCCTACTACTCAGATTATTTTGAAGTAAATCTGAAATTATACATCATTTCACATGATCACTTTTAAAAGGACACTCAAGCTGTTCTGTGAAGAGTAGCTTGTAGGAGATTAGATAGGAAGAGGGAGAGGAGGAAGAGGCCATTGCAATAGTTTAGGCAGCGTAGCGGAAGATGAGCTGGAATATGGAGACGGGAGTGGAAATGAGGAGTGGTCACATTTGGGTGTATTTTAGATGTAGAACTGATAGACTTGCTGATAGATTTGGGAGGTGAGGGAAAATGAGGTCTACCAGGTTTGGGGCTCTAGCAACTGGGCATTAGGGTGCCTTTCAGTGAGATGGGGAAGGCTAAGGAGATGTTGAGTGGGCAGTTGAACCTGCAAGTCCGGAGTTTAGGAAAGGCGCAGGGCTGGAAATATAGATTTGGGAGTCATCAGAACATTGGTGGTATTTAAAGTCATGGGGGGCGGGGGGGGATTAAGTCATGGGTCTGGGTGAGATCACCCAAGGAGGGATGGAAATGGAGAAGATACAGGGCTCAGGCCTAAGCCCTTGGACACTCTCCCCCTAGAGAGCAGGAGAGCAGTCATCATTTAATCTGCAGGCTTTGGAAGTGATGAGCACTGTTCTCAAACAGCTCCAAACATCCCTCACCACCTACAAAAATTAGTCCTTCTGAGATAGGGGAGACGAAGCAGGACTAAACAGGGATCTGCTCTCCTGCATCCTTGCATTAACCTGTCTATCATCATCTGAGTAGCTGATAGCTGGGCCTTCCTATTTAACAGCCCTGCTCGCTAAATATGATGTTCTCTGGTTGTGGGGTGTACAAGTTTGAGATTCAGTGAAATCTGAGGCTCAACAATAGCCAATCTCCACCCTCATCCCTGCTCCAATCTCCTTTCAAATCAGAGGCTTTATGGCAGCAACTCTCAACCTGTGGGTCATGACCCCTTTGGGGGTCGAATGACCCTTTCACAGGGGTCGCCTAAGACCATTGGAAAACACATATATAATTACATATTGTTTTTGTGATTAATCACTATGCTTTCATAATGTTCAATTTGCAACAATGAAAATACATTCTGCATATCAGATAGTTACATTATGGTTCATAACAGTAGCAAAATTACAGTTATGAGGTAGCAACAAAAATAATTTTATGGTTGGGGGTCACCACAACATGAGGAACTATATTAAAGGGTCGCGGCATTAGGAAGGTTGAGACCACTGCTTTATGGCCTTCTGCAGCTAAAATGGGTTAAGTGAGGACATAGCCTGAGGGAGTCCGAGTAGCTGGATGGTCTCATGGAAAGACAGGGCCTCTGGCCCTAGCCATTTGGCTCAGTGGATAGAGCCCCAGCCTGAGGACCAAAGGGCCCTGGGTTTGATTATGGCCAAGGGCACATACCTTGGTTGCAGGTTCCTCCCCAGCCCAGGGATCCTGGTCGGGGTACATCCAGGAGGCAACCAATCAATGTGTCTCTTTCACATAGATGTTTCTGTCTTTGTCGCTCTCTTCCACTCTCCCTAAAAATCAATGGAAAAATATTCTTGGGTGAGGATTAACTAAAAATAAATAAGACAGGGCCTCTGAATCCCTGGGGTGAGTAGGTATAAGGGAAGAGCCCGAGCCTAACCTCCCTTGTCCTCACCGCAGGTGTTCCAGGGTGGTCAGCCGATCCTCACCCACCAGCTTGCCTTCCCAGAGCCTCAGACTGACACCCCAGCATTATGGAGACGTCTTCTGGGACAACCTTAGTGAAAGGCCCAGGTGGGTAGAAATGGGGAAATGGGGACTAACTGGCGGTGGGAAGGTGAGGCTGTACAATTTTAACACTCACAAAGCTTTACAGCCCTGGCCGGTGTGGCTTAGTTGGCTGGAACACAGAAAGGTGACAGGTTTGAACCCTGGTTAGGGCACATACTCAGGTTTTGGTTTTGATCCCTGGTTGGCACAAGTGAGGAGGCAACCGATCAATGTTTCTCTCTCCCTTCTTCTCACTCTAAAGTCAATGAAAGCAGGCCCTCAGGTGAGGATGAAGGGGAAGAAAGCTTTATGACAATATGCACTGGGAATAACTGCCTCACTGGTTGATGGACTTTGTAGGCTCCTGCTGCCAGATAAATAGGTGGTTGGGAGAGATCATTAGAGAAACAACATGGATGGGGGTGCTGCTCTGCACTTAGCCCCCTTTTTTGTGCCTCACAGCTCCACCTGGATGGAAGAACGGTACATCCCCTCCCTGCAGGTATGATAGACCTTCTGCTGCCCTTCAGTACTTCTCGGTTAAAACTGCACCGCAGCTCTCCTATTACACGTTCCCTCTAGTGTCCCCCAACCAAACACAGAACAGTCCCTCCTTTCTATCAATCGTGTTTTCCAGATCACAGCTGTTTTCGTGATCTGAGCTTCCCAAGACCCCTGACTCCCTATTTCAGTCGAAGCTCCCCCGAGAGCCCAGTTCTGCCATCTATCTCCTTTCCCCCTTCTTTGGCACAGAGAGCCACTGGTTGTTCCCAGCCTGGCGTGTACCCCCCTGAGGGGCTCCCACCCCCTGAGATGCTTTTCAGAAGAAAGAGGAGGAGGTCATATTTGGCA